CCCCCCCGCCCTCCCCTCTCTCCAAGCCTCCTTCCTGACCTCCTCCTCTCCTGCCCCAGGTGGGGAAAGGATGCTGCGCGGCCCTGAAGGCCATGGGATCCATCGTGTACGTGACTGAGATCGACCCCATCTGTGCTCTTCAGGCCTGGTAAGGAGCGGAAAAACAACAACAACCTGCCTCGCAGGGAGGGTTGGACTAGAACAGGGGTCTCCAGCCGTGGCCCCTTGAAGTCTCGTGGACTTCAACTCCCAGAGTTCCTCGGCGGTGGTGGGAGGCTGCCGGCGGAACAGCTGGTTCGGCGATCTCGTGTGAGCGGCTGTCCGAAAAAACCTTACCTTTTACTTACCTGAGGAAAGGAATCTGGAAGAGCCGTGCAGCAGTTTGGAAGCGAAAGTACATTCCAACTCTTCTCTTTAAAAGATTGTAGCTAAACTACCGGAGCTTTTGTCTGGGAATGTCTTTAATTGGAGAACGTGATTGATGACACCCAGCCCGTGAAAGTGCTCAGTTGGAGAATCTGATTTATGACACATCCAGGAGGAAGGCGGGGGGAAAATGGGGTCACGGGACTGTGAATGACGTATGCCAGAGTTGGCTTCGTTTAGGTTAATGCCGACATGATGCGCCTAATAAATCCTTTGAGGTTTTTTTTTTTTGAAGTTTGGCTCGAGAATCATCACTTAATTAGGGCGATTGCCAGAATCCTGACAGATGCAGCCATTAAAAAAAGAAGCAAGTCACTATGGGTGCCCAGTGATTTCAGCTTCACACACAACCACAACTTGCTGGTTTCCGGCCCTGGGAGGCAAAGGGCTGCCTGGGATTTTTGGGGGTAGGGGGTGTTTCTTAGATTTGGGGTGACTTTTCGGGGGAACCCGTCCACAAATCTCAGGGTTCAGGTTGTTGTTGTTTTTCCCCAGCATGGATGGCTTCCGTCTCGTGAAACTCAACGAAGTGAATCGGCAAGTCGACATCGTTATCACCTGCACAGGTAACTCCCGGGGAAGAGATCCCAGGAAATTGGGGAGGGGGGGAGGCAGGTCTCCGTGGATGGATTGGGGAGCTGCAAGAGAGCAGCCCAGCAACCGCTGCCGGGCGGGGAGGCAGCCGGGAGGAGAGGCTGCCCTTTCATGGGTTGGGATTGACAGCCCGGTCGACGATTCTCTTGTCAATTTTGTTTGATAGGTAACAAAAATGTCGTGACGAGAGAACATCTGGATCGGATGAAGAATGGTTGCATTGTGTGCAACATGGGACATTCCAACACAGAAATCGATGTGGTAAGATGTAGCTTGCTTTCCTTCCTTCCTTCCTTCCTTCCTTCCTTCCTTCCTTCCTTCCTTCCTTCCTTCCTTCCTTCCTTCCTTCCTTCCTTCCCTCGTTATCTTCCTTCCTTCCCTCCATCTCTCTCACCTCCCTTCCTGTTCCTCCCTTCCTTCCAGTTTCCTTCTACTTCCTATCCCTTCCTCTCCCTCTGTCTCCTCCTTCCTTTTTTCCTTTCTTTCTTGCTTCCCTTCCTCCTTCCTTGTCACCTTCCTTCCCTCCCTCCCTTCTTCCTTCCAGTTTCCTTCTATCTCCTTTCCTTTCCTCCTTTCCTTTCCTTCCTTCCTTCCTGCCTCCCTTGACTCGTTTAATGCCCACAGGGGTTAGAACACAGTATTGCAGGCAAACGCTGCCCACAGCGGCCTCCAGGTTGACTTGTCCTTTCGTCCGTCCAAGGTGGAGGACCTAGATTATTGGGAGTTCTGCAAGCCCCTTAGAGAGGGCTGGGAAGCACTGGGAAGCGGTATATAAGTGTAAAAGCTATTCCTCCCTCCCTCCAAAGAGAGGCCCCTCCCCAAGTGGCCCACAGTGTTATCTCAGACAGGAAACTCCTTAAATCCTGTGTCTCTCAACCTCGGCAACTTCCTGGCTGGGGGAATTCTGGGAGTTGAAGTCCACCCATCTGAAAAATGGCTGAAATCGAGAAGAACTCCTCCCGAGAGTTTGCACAACAACCTCAAATCAGATATCGGGGCCAGGCGATGAACATTTGGGCCGCTGCTCTTGTGAGTCCTTGCACGGCCCGGGCGGCTTCGACCCCCTCCCCGCTGCTCTCTTCCAGGCTAGCTTGCGTACCCCCGAGCTGACTTGGGAGCGGGTGAGGTCACAGGTTGACCACGTCATCTGGCCGGATGGGAAGAGAATCGTCTTGCTGGCGGAAGTAAGTGAGCCGCTCCGCAGCGCCAGAGGGGTTGAGGGGGGGGGGGTACCTTGGCTTGGGGGGCGGGCGGGCTTCTGGGATGCCAAAGGGGACCCTTTCCTGATGCCCGCTTGGGAAGGCTCAAGACCTGAGGTGGGGCGTTGGGAGTCAAAAATCCCAGGCGCTGGTTCTCGGGCTGGGTGGGCGTGGCCATAGTGGGCATGGCCTACCAGAACGTCTTGCGGGGGGGGGCGTTTTTTTGACTTCCCCAGAATCCGGAGGCTTCCCTCAGGCCTCTGGGAGGGTGAAAAAGGCCTCCCCCGGGCTCCGGAGGGCCTCCGGTAGCCGAAAACAGGCCCGTTTCCGGACATCCAGAATTTCCAATTTGGCCCATTTTTCGCCCCCCGCAAGCCTCCGCGTAGATCCTGCACTTACCTGCATCCAAAACAGGCCATGTGGAGATTCCTGGGAGGGGAGGGGCAGGGTAGTAGGGTGGGCAGGGCCATCCGGTCGGTTCAACTACCGGTTCGTCGAACCAGATGCAAATTTAACAGCCGGTTCACTCGAACCAGCCCGAACCGGCCGAATCCCAGCCCTGAATCCAGGGTGCTGGAAATTCCTCCCTTTTTTTTTCCCACCAGGGTCGCCTCTTGAACCTCAGCTGTTCCACAGTGCCAACCTTTGTGCTGTCCATCACAGCCACCACTCAGGTGAGTCAGGGCTCCAACCAACCCACCCACCCCCGTTCAAATCGTAAGTCTCTAGCCGCATCTCAGCGAAAAGAAAATTGATTTATTAGGAGCGGCCATGTTGCCGTTAGCTGGATGCAGCCGATAATACAATACATCATTCATTTCCCCCTTGACCCTGGTCTTCCCCCCACCTACCCCCTGGATGTCTATTCTCCAATGGGACACATCCATAGCCAAGAGTCATCAATCATGCTCTCCAATAATATTCCTGCGCTCCGACAACTTTGGGCTGCCAGGACGATTCTCTAGGCACTTAAGGAATGCACTGTTTTTTCTTCCACTCCGTTTTTCTGGCAGCTAAAAGGACCAAAGGAGTCTCTTTTTAGTTGACACAGGGGAGGCTGGTTTTGCCAGCTGTCCACCTGGCTCTGGGCGTGGGGACGGGACGTCATTCCCCCTCCCGTCTCGGGACTCATCGTAAAGAGTGGTTTGTTTCGTTATTTACTTTATCGAAGAGAATATTGCTCAGGATTGAACCGTGGGGGGTTCTTGAGGTACGCCGAGCTTGGAGGTTTTCTTGCAGACGTTTCACGACCCAACTAGGGAACGTCATCGGTGCTAGAAGGGAATGGGAGTTTGTGGAGAGGAGAGTTGTGGGGTCCTTGGTGCTCTCTGTGCTGGGTTGTTTCCTTGCAGACGTTTCATTGTCCAGCTAGGTGACGCCATCAGTGCTAGAAGGGTGTGGGGCTTGTGGAGAGGAGAAGGAGAAGGACTCTGGGGTCCCTGATGTTCTCCAAGCTTGGAAGTTTGGAAATATTGCCTGAGGGTTATAATGTAGACTTAACGTACTTGATTATCAATGTATTAACAACAGCTAGGATTGTATTTGCACAAAATTGGAAAAATGAGACAATTCCGATGGATGAGGAAATAATTAAGAAAACAATGGAATATGCTGAAATGATGGACAATGGCAATTAGAGAAGAAGAGGAAAAAGATTATTATAAAATTTGGAGTGTGTTTTATGAATGGCTAGATAGAAGAATAAGGAATTGAAATACGTAAGCACAGTATAATATTTATTACCGATCAACAAATGACTTAGAGTAAGAAAATGAATGTGAAATAGATTATTGAAAATCAATAAATATGTTAAGGCTAAAATAAAAAAAAAGAAAGTTTCCTTGCGGACCTCTCGCAACCCAACTAGGGAACATCATCAGCGCTAGAAGGAAGTGAAGTTTGTGGAGTGGAGGAGGAGGACTGTGGGGTCCTTGTGGCTCTCTGAGCTGGGTTGTTTTCTTGCAGGCCTTTCATGATCCCACTAGATAACGTCATCAGTGCTAGAAGGGAGAGAAGCCAAAAAGGAACCCCAAAAAAGCTACGACCTCCACACTCTTAATGAACCTCCAGATATGCAGGGGTTAACACCGAGAATGAACCCTACTCCGGGGATGGCTTACCTTTTTGACACCGAGTGCCCAAAGCGTGCGTGCATGCATCCCCCAAAATGCAAAAAAAAGCGTGCATCCCCGTGCATGTGCCGCCCTGTGCATGCGCGTGCATCCCCCGTGCTTGCACCCTGCTCCACATGCGCTCCCCCCTGCATCTGCAGCAGAGATCTGAAAACCAGCTGGCCAGCGGGAGGTGCGTGGGCGCATCTGGAGCTGAACTTAAGGCAGTGCCTTGCGTGCCCACAGAGAAGGCTCTGCGTGCCACCTCTGGCACGCGTGCCAGAGGTTCACCCTCACAGCCCCACACCAAACAATCAAGGAGAAAACAGCACCCCAACCACCAACTGAGACAAACAAAAAGTAAATCACAGCCTGATAAAGGAACCAAGAACATCTCAGTTTATCTGAGTAGTGGCTACTGGAGAAGATGTTTTGGTCTTTTGGTTTGGGTTTTATTTTTTTTTGATTGTCTCTTTTGAATGGTATGTAGACATTGTTGATCTCTGTGTGCCCGTTGATGGCCGACTTGTTTTAATGCCAAACGTCCAGGAACTCTCTCTTTTCTGGGGGGAACCTGGCTTGGTTTAGGATGCTCTGAGTTTTCCAGTTGAATCTACGGTGCACTCTGTCCCTGGGTTGTGCAATTCAGGAGTTTTCATCCTCCCCAATCGAGAAACTACCAATTCAGGCAAACTATCACCCATTAAACAACAGCCTAATGAAGGAACTAGGAACGTCTCTGTTTTATTTGGGTACTGGAGAAGATACATTTTGGTCTTTTTGTTCCTTTTTTGGCTTTTTGATTGTCTGTTTGAATGGTATGCAGATGTTGTTGGTGTCTATGTGCCCGTCGATGGCCGGTTTGTTTATTGTCTTTTGAATCTGGCTTAGTTTAGGATGCTCCGAGTTTCCCAGTTGCCCTAATCCGTCCGTGTATTGTGAAACCCAAGCGGTTTCATCCTGGCTGCCAATTGATTGTCCGTGGATCAAAGGGGAGGCTCTTTGCTCGACGCTAAGCAGAACAGATGGGATGGAGGAGGAGAAGGAACAGCAGGTCCTGGACTTGTTCTCAGCGGGGGATCCGATGTCCAGGACATTGCCTGTCAGGCCTGGTTGCCTTCTGGCTTTTACAGTCCAGTTCTTTTTTTGAAATTATTATTATTATCATTATTTCAAACCTGGACGTGGGCGAGATCCACTCTCTACTTTGTTCCCGTTCTGCTTTTCTTGCTGTGGGGGTCCCGCTGGGCTTGTGGAGGGGTTGCTCCAAGCTCCTAGGCCCAGGACTCTTCAATATCGTCATTAACGACTTAGATGAGGGAATAGAAGGGGAACTTACCAAATTTGCAGACGATACTAAGCTGGCAGGAATAGCTAACACCCAAGAAGATCAACTCAAGATCCAGATGGATCTTGACAGACTTGAACCCTGGGCCGTATCTAACAAAATGAAATTCAATGGAGGGAAAAGTAAAGTCCTACACTTAGGCAAGGAAAACCCAAAGGACACATTTAGACTGGGTGAAACCAGGTTGAATAGCACGAACTGAGAGGGATCTTAGTGGGTAAACAGCTAAATAGGAGCCAGCCGTGTGCAGCAGCAGCCCAAAAAGCCAATGCAATCCTAAATTGCATTAACAGAGGGATACAATCCAGATCAAGGGAGGTACTAATCCCACTGTGTAAAGCCTTAGTAAGGCCACAGCTAGAGTCCTGCATCCAGGTTTGGTCACCACATTGTAAAAACAATGTCGAGACTCTAGAAAAAGTACAGTGAAGAGCAACCAGGATGATGAGGGGACTGGAGGCTCAAACATATGAGGAACGGTTGCAGGAACTGGGCCTGGCTAGTCTAGGGAAGAGAAGGACCAGGGGAGACAGGAGAGCAGCCTTCCAGTATTTGAGGGGCTGCCCCAGAGAGGAGGAGGAAGGGGTCAAGCTATTTTCTAAAGCACCTCTGAAGGCCAGACAAGGAATAATGGATGGAAACTGAACAAGGAGAGATTCAACCTGGAAATAAGGAGAAACTTTCTGACAGAGCAATGAACAGAAGTTGCCTTCAGAAGTTGTGGGAGCTTCATCACTTGAGACTTTCAAGAAGAGATTGGACTGCCATTTCTCAGAAATGGTGCAGGATCTCCTGCTTGGGCGGGGGTTTGACTAGATGACCTACAAGGTCCCTTCCAACTCTGATTATCTGTTATCTTCTTTCTGGTTTGCAGGCGCTGGCCTTGATAGAGCTGTACAACGCCCCCGAGGGCCGTTACAAGCAGGACGTGTACCTCCTGCCGAAGAAAATGGGTAAGTGGAGAGGTGGGCATGGGTCTCCCCCTTCCTCTCGGAAGGCACCCCATCTCTGTCCTCTGCTGGCCGAAGAACATAGAATAATCATAGAGTTGGAAGGGACCTTGGAGGTCTTCTAGTCCAACCCCTTGCTGAAGTAGGCCCTGTACCAGTGGTGGCTAACCTTTTGGGGCTCCCGTGCCGAAAATGGGTGCTCGCATGGCAGCACCCAGAAGGCAATGCACCCCACGCCCCCTGCGCATGTGTGCGCAACACACACACACAC